AAAAAAAAAAAAAAAAAAAAAAAAAAAAAAAAAAGAATTTTATTTATGCAAGACTACAAACCATTTTAACGACAGATAGATAACCCATACTAAACTCAAACTAGAATAATCTTTGTGATAATTCATTTGACGTTTAGTGTATTTGATTTTTGAAGTAAAAGTTCTCTATACTTTTATTTTTTTAACATATACTGAATGATGTATAGACGTGTGAAGTGTTTTGTATATTGAAGGCATAGAACACACAACTATAGTTCAAATGGAACTTCAATAGATATTTTAGTAAATTAAAAAAAGAAATATCGTATGTAATGATATTTATAGGTTATAGGTATAGTTATATTTATAGGTTTCAAAAAAATAATAATACTGTCATGTCAATTGTCTATGACTAAAATTCATACTTTAAGAATGAATACACGAACTATATACATTTATTCATTAAGTTATCGATTTTTTCATCAATATACGTCATCTCTAACAAATGCAGTGTAATGAAATAACTTTTGCCTAACCTTGTAAAAAGTTAATGAATTTTTGAAAAAAAAATTGCTTTTTCTCTCACTTCTTACAAATAAACATTGTTTTGGGTACTTTAATTTAATGTATTTATTTAACCGCTACCCATTTGAAAGCGAGGTTTATAAAAATAGTTCATGAAACACGTGTAGATTTTTATGAACTGTTACCATCCTAGATTGTTTTGAGTGCAGGGGCTGTTTTCAATAGAGCAGCCTTTAGAGAGACGAGAAAGCGACGGACCTGGCGGGTAGTGCGGCTGCTGCAGGCGCAGCGCGGCGGCGAAGGCGGCGCCGCCGCGGGCGCCCCGGCTGCGCTGCACGGCCAGCAGCTGCGCCATGTAGGCGCGCTCCACGCCCAGCCGCACCACGGCGCCCGCGGGGCACGCGTCCAGCGCGCTCAGCAGGGCGCTAGGGGAGGAACGCCTCACCGCTTAGTGCTTAGACCATGTTGTACTCGCGACTGCCGTCGATCTAGTTAGCTCACTTTAGCGGTTAGACCAGTTTAGTGGCTAGACAACTGGTCTGCCACGCAGAGGTGAAATATTTCTATGGCCTATATTTATTTCTCTCGTGGGTTTGGTTGTAATCTGTGATGTTATGTGTGTGTCCACGGCATCCGCGATACAGGGTTTCTCTAGTGCGGGGTCATGAGTGTGTACGTTACTATTTGTAGTTAAACTATCACTTTAGCGGCTAGACCATTTTTAGTAATTAGACCACTTTAGTAGTTAGACCGCTTTAGGCCTCTCTGTTGTACTAACACGTCACATAAGACGTGACGCAACCTTCAATCCCCTTTACGAGTAGCTCCTTCGACGTTATGATACAGAATTTCAAAATTTTTCCACCAACTACGACGACGTTTCGACAACAGCTGCACCTACTTCTCTTATTTTTTAAATACCCAGTGTCGGGACGAACAAGTCATGTGCATGGTAGCAAACTTCGTGCCTATCCATAACAATTGCAATGCCACGCAGAGCTTTAAATAACAAATATCTTAGGGTCAAAAGTCTAAGTTCTCTTATCAAAATTTAACAACATCTTCACTCACCTCATAGAATTAACGGGCATGCCGAAAGTCTGAATAAACAAGGCCAACTTATGCGCCGGGAGACCTCTCAAGCCGGCATCCAACAAAGGTGGCCTGGCGGACCGAACGAGATGCAATCGCAGCCAATCGGGGAGGAGGATGGCCTCCTCGGAGGACTCCATGAGGAACGCCTGAGGGGAGTCGTTGCCTACCCAAACGGATTGGAGCCAGCTGTACATGTCTTGGTTACTATCGTCTGAAATCAAGAAAACCATTGTGATAAGAAGTATGATGGCATACTTTAAATTAACCCGCGATAATGTATGACATGTAATTTTACCAGTAAATAAATACATCATGGGGTAACAACTAAGCAATATTTTAAATTTTCGCACTCGGATATTACTCAAAAGGAATTAATTCTTATAATTGACACTCCATTGGCATCATACAAAAACGGCATGTTTTATGTTTTTTTTATTTCATAGGTAAGTAAATTCCACTTGAAATCGTCATATTAATTAAACTCTACCGCTCATTCGTAAGGCAGATTCCCCTGAGAAGAATGAGCAAGAAACTCTAGTCGTTGCTCCTTGTAAATATACATTTGAATACATTTAACATTTACAATATTTATTTCAAGCATTTTACATTGAGACTACTTGCAAGTGCTAAACGGGTCACTACCACGGATTCTTGTCATCCATGTTCACAAAAGCTGTACAATAATAACCTTTAGTATAAAGTTTTTCTTTCACTATACTTTTGAATCTCGTAAATGGCAAATTTTGTTTTGTTTTTTTTCGGTTGCAATATCAACCGGAATCTTACCACAGAAGCTTACACTTTGTCCCTTAAATTAATTTGTGACTTTGTGAAAACGACCGTTAAGAATAGCTAGTTTATTTTTAATTTCTCGTGTTATGTCTGTCATTATTTTTAATATAAAAAAATACTCTTCTTCTTAACATAAATGTATAACATATAAACATACAAAAATAAAATGTGTTCTTGAAGCAAAATATCCTATCTACAATATATAAAGTACTTTTTCTCCGTGTCGCATAGCCGTGGGTCATATTCATATTCTTCATTTGTAAGTTACATGGTTATATAACAGGTGTTCTAATGCTAATGGTACCTGACATGTAACATCCCGTGGGGGCACTGCAACACTTAGAGGGCACTATGGCCTTACTTTACTAACTACATTATTTAAATAAAATTAAGAATGATTAATAATAAAAAAATTAAACAGAATTTTAGGCAACTTCAACAACAAATATTAGTAATTCCTTTTGCATTCAGGTCTCATTCCTGATCCAGTTGTGTCTGGCTACTTGACATAATTTTTACAAATTATATACTTGGAAATTCGTAGATTTTAAGTATTATTTTCTAAAAAGTATTCTTTTAGAGAATTAAAAACTTTACTTTGTAGATAGTTCTTTAGATGGGTTACAAAGGCCTTATGTTCTTATGTATCTTATGTTTTTTATATTTATTGGCCCAGCAGCCCATCTATATAACACGTTTCCTATATGTGGACGACCTAGCGCTGACAACTCAGGCACCAACTTTCGAAGAGGCCTAGAAAAACCAGATTTCAGCCTTGAATAAACTGGGAACGTATTATGATACAAACCGTCTCAGGCCCAACCCATCAAAAACCCAGACGTGTGCTTTCCATCTGCGCAACTATCAGGCCAACTGAACGCCGAGTATCACCTGGCAAGGAGTGTTTTCCTAAATATCTGGGGGTAACGCTGGACAGATCACTCACCTTCAAACCGTACTGTCAAAAGACCAAAATGAAGGTCAGCTCACGCAATAACCTCCTTCGACGTCTAACATCCACCAATTGGCAGCGCCAGATGTCCTACGAACTACGGGTTTAGCATTGTGTTTCTCTGCCGGTGAATACGCGTGTCCAGTATGGCATAGGTCTGCACATGCCGGAGTTATTGACGTAGCGCGTAATGAGACAGTACGCCTGATCACCGCCTGTCTCAAGCCAACTCCCCTTAATATGGTTATAATCTTTAGCAGGTATTGCACCACCATACGTGCGTCGAGATGTAGCATGCTCCGCGGAGAAGAACAAACAGGAGAGTGACAGTCGACACCCTTTATATGGCCACCAAATTCCCCGAGCTCGCCTCAAAAGCCAAAAGAGTAAAAGTTTCCTGCGCACCACAAAGGTTATGAGTGACCATCCAACTGTCACTAGGTGAGCATTGTGGAAACAGAAAAACCCTCTACCACCTGGTGTCAACATACCTCAAGAGCAACTACCAGGTTGCGATCTGCGGTGGCCTACGTCTTCTTCTCCTACCGAAGGTCGGCTATCATTAGAGCTATCTGTATTTTAGAGACAGCTGCACGGAACAAGGATCTTGTGCTCTGGTTGAACCGTGTCCGGAGATTCTTAAGCCACGAAGTAGGCCTTCTTCCACGTAGTCGCTTTCCCTGTATCTTCCCTTGCATAATTAGTCAGAGTAGGTCGTATTTATCATTACGCATTATATGATATGAATGCGTTTTTTTGACAGTACTCAAGACCTCTAAATTCTTACTCACCATCTGCAATACTCTTTCAAATAGGCGCCTTGACGTCGAGTTGCGGATACCAGCCCGTTACACCAAGTACCAAGTACTCTTTCATTGGACACTCTATCCGTGCACGATATTTTTAAAATTTTTCTGTAGACCCACATTTCAAAGGCTTCTAAGCAGTTGCTAATATTTTGAGTTAAGGTCCAGGACTCTATGCCACACAGAAGAACCGAAAACACGTAGCAACGTGCCAAACGTACCCTAGTAGAGATCTTCAAGATTCGATTGCAGAGATGACCCAACTTTAGAAATGCGTTACGTGCTTGTTCTATCCGACATTTGATCTCTACGCTATGATCACATTCGTCGTTTACGATGCAACCAAGGTATTTGTAAGAATGGACTCTTTGGATTACTTGATTTCTTACAACCAGATCTTTTGTTGTAAGATGTTGTGATCTGCCAACGATCATGATCTTCGTCTTTTTTAAGTTTATGCTGAGACCGTAACTTGCACTAATGCTATCAACACGCCGAAGTAAATTCTGCAAATCATTAAAATTTGACGCCCGTAATATCGTATTGTCAGCATATCGTATGTTGTTCAGCGCGTGGTCATTTACTATGCTGCCTCACTACAGTCCTTAAATCGTCTTCGCACTCAGGTAGGAGAGAGTACTGAAAGGACGCCTCAACATGTGTAGACCTCTATTGTTACGTTTCTTTACAGGTGAGAAAAGATGATTGTATTTCTTTCACCCTGTATATAGCTTATTAATTTATAAATATGGTTGTACAGTATCTTCACAAGTATTGTTCCGTTTTTCCATCACGTATATTAAGCAACCGCGAGTTACTTCATTATCTTTCCGGTGATACTAACAACACACATCTAATAAGTCAATAATGTCTATAACTTACACATAGAAGGTCCATAGCACAGCAGCTTCAGGTGCGCATGCGCGATGATGACGTGTAAATTGGCTCGTCGTCCACTTGGCCACTGTAGCGTGACACGCTCCCCAGGCGCCCATGCACCTTCGGGCGGTTCTTCAGGGTTGGTACCAGCTGAGCGCACCTACAGGTGTAAAGATTAGTTGCTAGTTCCAGTGTACGGTTGTCACTACAGCTGCCTGTCCTTAGTTACTAATTTTTACTTTTTGATTAAAAAAAATACGTTCTTTGTTTTTCTTGTGTGTATCAGTGGCGGAGAGGGGATATCGTAAAAATCATATTCCTGCATAAGATTCTTCATGGCGAGATTGACTCTTCTCACCTTTTAAGTAAAATAAATATCTGCATAAGACGTACTCCCCGAATACCTAGCAAGATATTTAACCTGCGAACGTATACGATACATATCTTTTTATAATCCCCTGATAAGAATGTGTCGGCTTTACAACGAGATATCTATGAAAAGCTCCGGTTTGGATATTTTTGACTCAAGATCCAGAATATTTAAAGGAGTAGTAACTTGCCTAACACTTACATAGGTATTCACCCAAACCCATTTCGTTTTTTATTTTGTATTTTTGTATTTAGTAAATAAATGGGTATATTGATTAAGTAAGTAAATTATTAGCAAATTGTCAACAGTAGATCTTTATTGTTGCTTTATAATGTGACAAAATAACTAGGGTAATCTAGTACAGAATTTATACTATATTTAATTCTTATCAATGTCATTTGATTGCTATCTGTTTTGTTGTCCATATAATAAATAAACAAATAACAGCCGGATTGACGAACAAACGCCAAGACAATTGGTCAAAAATGACACACGCTTGAAAATACTGCGTTTTCCGGTCTCATATCTTTCAATAACAGACTCTAGTATAGTTGAATGAAAATACCTTAAACATGTGCGTGTATAGAATCTGCGTGAGCGCATGCAAAGTGCGATGCTGGGAGAGGTAGGGCTCGATGGCTGGAGGAGACTCTTTGAGCTCTGCTGGCGGCAGCACAGAACCCATCACCGTTGTTCGCTCCATTAGCACTTGGCTGAGGTCCTTTGGGAGATAACAAATGAGTTTAGCCAGATTACTTAATAGTTACTACGTAACAGGCACATCACTCTCATACAAAATCGAAAATACCTACGCTAATCACACCAGGCACTCACTACGAGGAAAAAGGAACCTAAGCACGCGCTCGGAGAGGTGAAAATAACGTTGCCCGCCACGCGCAGTCGTGCGGAACCGAGTGCTGGTTGGTGCTGGTGGTTGTAATGTAAATGAAAGACTTATCTGAGCGCTTGCATTGTCGGCGATACACTCAGCGGTAGGCTCGAGCGAGTGATGGAGCCCTGGTACAGTACTGATTTCTTTATTACAACCGTAAGTGCGGTGGTAGTTCAGTAGAAGAACAGTTGCTTCTCATGACGTGTTCATATATGATCGACTATCGCCTACAGCAGACTACTTCGCATTGCGATGCGCGGTTTATATCGAGTTGACTGCCGCCTGCGCCGAAATCACCAAGTCATTGTAAATACAAGTTTACGACAACAAATTGCTCGAAGCGTTACAAGAAATCGATCGGGTAGGTAGATATATACTTCGGCATTCAGAACGCGCGTCGTGGTGGGACGCGGTCACATACATGTTGGAACTTGTTTGGTCAACAGTCGCCGTTCATTTGTCGCTCGATAGTGATTATTCATTAGTCGACTCGAGCGAACTCCGGTCGTTCAACGACTCGGTGTTCATACTAGGCAGGTTGCCGTCTTTGGCAGGCAAGCGAAGGCGACCCGTCGACCTAGTGTAAGCGGGTCATCAATGTGACGGCCCGTTTATGACTCATCTCATTAATACAAAGACATTCCTTCGACCCGGCTGGATTCGAACCAGAGCTTTCGCCATACCCTGACTCACGCTCTCCCAATTGAGCTACGGAACGATCAGCAGATCTTACGAATTAGTCTATTTACACTAGTGGAGTATGTTAAAAAAAATATGAATATCACGTTAGTAAAAGATCATGATATTCTGTGTAACAAGTTTCAGTCTTTGTTGGTTCAACGGCACACTGGATGGGTATTTGTTGTAATGTTTCAATTTTACCCAGATTACCAAAACAAAAACGGCACAATCAATTTTTTTTTTATAGTAACCTAATTTATTTATGATAATTGTAAGTAAACAAT